AAAAAGTCTTGCCCACTGGCAAGTTCTAGAATTAAAAAAAAAAAAATATTTTTTTTCCTACATTAAAGCAAATGCATTTGACTTGCATTACATTTTGGACACAATGAAAATCCAACTAACCAATTTTAACAGATTTTCTTTTTCTTTTTTAATTTTTGGTGATACTGGAAATTGAACCCAGGAGTATTCTGGCACTGAGCCACGCCCCAGCTCTTTTCATCTTTGAGATGGAGCCTCCCTAAGTTGTTCAGGGTGGCCTTGAATTTGCAATCATCTGCCTTAGCCTCCCAGGTAGCTGGAATTATAGGCAAGCACCACAGTGTCTGGCTATGGCACAGATTTTCAAATAAAGGAGTGGAAACTCTTCAAATCAAAATCTGGACCAGAATAATAGCAGGCTACCAGTAAAAGTCTGATCTTTATATGAAAATATATCTCAAACTGAATTTTCTGTTTCCTTTGACTCACTTTAAAAGCAATTCTAGGGTTAGGGATGTAGCTCAGTGGTGCAGGGCCTGATCCTGGGTTCAATCCCCAGGACCACAAAGAAAAAAGAAAAAAAAAATCAATTCTAGTAGCTTTAATAATCTTCCAGTCTTTAAATTCTATTGGGCAATGTTTTGTTTTTTTACCCTAAAATAGATTTTTAAAAAGTGACTTTGTGCAAAGCTTCAAATCTTAAATTCTTTTAGTGATAGCTAAAACAAGAGACACTAAAACACTGCCAAATCCCACTCTAAAAATAGTACCTGCGTTTTCGTCTGGCATTTGACAAATGATGCCTACATATGCCATACCAAATACAATGACAAGCTGGCAGACTTCAAGGGCAACAAAACCATTCTGAACACCAAAAACACGCTTGCTCTTAGATCTCACACCTGACGAACGCAGCAATGAAGTGTGGGTAAGATACTGAAAGTGAAGAAGGATTTCATTAGGCTTATTTTTTCCTGTAACATTTACTCTTTGGCCACAAGACCCTAAACACAATTTCACAGGACAGATCATGCACAGCTTGCAAGTCAAACGTTTTACAGCTACTGTCTAACTACTATTTTTGGACAATAGATTCACATGCAGCTAATGGTCCCAGAAAAGGGGCTTAATAAAACACTCTTTAAGCTTCACTGATGATTCCTTGGTCCAAAATATCTAATAACCCCAAAGGGCAACCAATGAGTTCTCACTGTTATACTTGGGATCACACACTTCTTAAGCCCAGAAAGGATTTTTTTTTTTTTTTTTTTTTTTTTTTTTTGTGCCAAATGCTTGTTACTAGCCCACAAATTCTCTCTGGTCTGTTAGAAACACCTTGATGCCATGAGCCAATATGGTAGCCACTAGTCACATGGGGCTCTATTTTAAATTGTTTAAAATTAAATAAAATTTAAAGATATGTTCTTTAGTCATATTATCCGCATTTGAATTGTCAGTCATTGTGGACAGTGGCTATTTTACTGGACAACACCCATTATGGAACATTTCCATCATTCCAGAATGTTCCACAGAATGGCACTGATCTAGAAAACTGTAAGGGCTACACCAGTGCACAGCTGAAACTCCAAGGGGCCACTCTGTAAGCCACGCACAATATTAAACTTACATTTTAAAAGAAAATACCTTAGAGCCTTCTGATCAAAAAATGTGATTGGAACTCAGAACCAATTTGCCTTTTCATCAAAATTTGTGCCCCAAGTCATTATACAAAATTTTTTCAAAGACAATGTTTTTTGGTGGCATACTTAGCTCTACTAAACATATTAAAGCATTCTCTTGCTTATGTCAAGATCATTAATAAAGATGAAAACACATGCTGCTTATAGTTTACTATTTACACAACACTCATTGTTCTTTACACATGGGGGTGGACCAATGTTTTGCAATTTTTAAAACTCAGATAATATGGTCAGATAGTTTCTTTTAAATGTCTATCCTCTTCCCTAACCCTAAACTTTTTTTATTTTCCAGAGAGGTAGCTAACTAAAATGAAGAAACTATAAAACAACACTTTTAAAGCAGTAGTTGAGATAATAAAGGGTCTCCATCAACCCCGACTAGAAGCTCAGCCAGATAGACACGGCGATGGATCTAGAAAGAAGCAAGAGGGACAGCAATGCACAGTTCTCATCCCCCTTTGCTGCAGAATTACGAGTCTCCACACTCCTCTCTGAGCCGCCCTGGGCTCATCTACAACACGAAACCATCGGAGGCTGTTTTCAGCTCTTCCTGGGCTTTCCAGTTGTGCCATTTCACTGGTATGCAACTATGAATTCCGGCCTCTGTGTCGCTGGGCTTTTGTCACAAGGGATGTATAAGTTATTAGTGTTGTGGGTAAATTTCAGAAGAGACCAGAGTAATGGCTTGCCAGATAACATCAAAACATCATTAAGCCTGGAAAAATTCTATCTAGCAGGCTAAGAAATCTCTTTGCCTCTTCTCCTCCCTGACCCCCACTCATGAGCGCAAGAGCGCGCGCGCACACACACACACACACACACACTCAAAAGCACATCCTAATAAGGAGATGTGCAACCTGCAAGCAGAATCCATTTAAACAATTTAAATAATGTTCTACCTACATCAGTAAGATTTACACACAAAAAATTCCGATTTGGGTGATTATTGTTAAGTTTTAAGGTCAAGAATCTACCAGAGAGCTAATTAATTTTGCACTGCTTAATTGCAGTTCTAGCACAGGATTGTTTGTAAGTAAAAGTTCTGTGGACATTTTTACTTTACAGCTTTGCACTAAGAAACACAGGACACTATCACCACACACATTAGTGTCTATATATAACCTACTAAACAAGTAGAACTCTATCACATACTACACTACAGGTCAGTCATTTCATACTGTACATAAATGTATGCAGATATCGCTCAAAAAATTAATTTGAATATGACATGGCTTAAAATTACAAAGGTAAAGTCCATTTTAAATGCATCATTTTAAATGCAACATTTCTGTCATTTTTTTTTCCTCCAAGAGAAATAGAAATTAGGTCAGACATGCATTACAGCAGCCTGGGAGTTTGAGAAATTGACACTAACCCAACAGCATTTTATGTTATGTAATAGAGGATAGTATTCAGCTAATATGATACCTAAATTATTAATACAAAATAAATCCTAGATTATTTGTTGTATAATGCCCAATAGCTTGTACAATAAAATGGCATTTTAACCTAATTTCTAGTTTGAGCTTTCAAACACATTTTCTAAAGGTCTTACGACAAATTTGAAAGATCTGAAAAGACCAGAGTTCCTATTTTTATATTGAATTCTCATGCCAATTAGGTGTTAGCTTTGTATTCTAGTTATTAATTCTTGTTTTATTTCACATGAACTCCATCACTTTAGAATGCATATTTTGTGCTGCTTGAAGATAATAGTTAGCATATAAATAAATAAAGTTGTCTTGATCTTACAGGGCTTCTTTCTAGCCTTCCTTTTTGGAACCAGTCATTGCTTTTCTGTCCCTATTTCTCCCCACCCCTACCCTTCCCACCATTTTCCGGGAGTCATTTATACCTAAAAACATATATTTGAGTGGAGTTCTTGACACATACCACCACTTGCTTCCTGAATTCCATAAAAGGAATTACAAGAGAACTATAACATTTACAGCTATTTCTACATGCACACAAACCCAGAGATGAGAATTTATTATTTAATCCAGCAGTTCTTTCTTTATGAACATCTATAAACCATTACACATTTAAGAACACTTACATTAGGAATGTGAATTGTAAGTCTACCTTGCCATTTCTCTCAATAAAAAACATATTTTGAAACACAGAAGATTTTCTTGCTTACACCAACAAGAGGAAACTGGAATTCAAAAAGGTCTAATGCTCAAGGAACAGCATCTTTCAAAAAAATAATTGTGGACTGCCTTTTGAAATGCCCATCAGTTTTGCCATTGCTAACAACAAGTGTGGCTTTTATAATACTCCAGAACTAGGAGAAAAGTCAAACTTTTGTTACTCTCCATTTGTGCCTTAAAAAATACAGGACTTAAACACAGAGCAGAGGGGTGAGTATTGGGGTGTCGCGTAGGGGACGTCTCATTGGGAGGATCGAGGTGCCCACCGTTTCAGATACTTGACTTCTTCATGCCCACGAGGTCTTAATCCTGGGGTTCTTCTGAAAAGACTCAAAAACCTGAGGTAAATCAAATCACACACACACACACATATACACACAAATACACAATATTTACATTTTAAATTCTTATTTTGTGAGATGGCTTGAGAAAAACTGGCATACAGGTTTCCTGCGGGATTAGGCATTTCTCATTATTTCTTGGTTTATTGCTTCCCTGGCGGGCTTTCAGCTTAATAAATATGTAGCAAGCTCTAATCACAAGTGAAGAAAAATGAAGGTACATGACAAAACACAACACACTGGAGACACTTGTTCAAATATTTTCTCCAAAAACAAAAACGACTATCCATTTCACTTATTTTGATTTGGGGTTCCATTCAAAATGTATATATATATATAAAAAAATCTTAGCAACTAGATGAAGACTGGGTTCCATTAAAAAAAAAAAAAAAAAAAAGAGCAAAGAAGCCTGCAGTGTATGTCTTCACTGAATTTTTTTACATGGATTCAAGATTTAATTCTACTTGTATACACAGCATCTTTATTTTCATCTACCGCATTTAGAGATCACATGGTATGCACATGTACGGTTTAAGGTCTAAGTAGAGTATGTCTATCTCATAACATGATCTTGAAAACTCATAAATCACAGCCCATTTAGTTCATGATTATGAGGATGCATGCAATCATCTTCAAAGCCGTTGCCATCCACACTCAGAACAATTCACCTGGCATCTTGTAGAGACCTCACCTTCCTCCCTTGGCATCTGTCTTCAGGTGAATCAAGTGGCAACCCAGAGGCCAGCGCTCAGCACCAAATGGTCAGTGTCGCCCCCCATCTTCTCGCTGGGATCCCGTCACCAACACCTACTCAACCCCTAAGTTGACACCCACAAGAGCCTTCCCTGCACCCCGCCTCAGCCACAGGATATCACAGTGAAGCGCTTAGAAATGCAAGACATGTTGTGGAGCACGATGCCCAGGAGGAAGACCAAGACACAGGCCACCAGGATGACAGTGCACACGCCCGACCAGGTGGAGCTTTTCACCACGCCCCGCCTGTCCGGCTCCTCGGCCACTGCCTCCTGCGGAGCCCCGCCTTGCAGCGGCTGCTGTTCCGCAGGGATGGTCACCACCGTGACGGACTTCTGCTGGCTCCCGGGGAGCAGGCGGCAGCCCATGTCTCCGGGCAGCAGTGTGCGCTCCTTGGAGATGGGCAAGGGCAGCATGTAGCACCCATTGCTAGGAAGTTTGATGAAGACCGGGGTGTGCTCGGAGGTGTGCGGAATGGCGATGACGGCCAGGACCTCGGGGTCATCGGGCAGCTGCGACACGGAGAAGCCAGGGGGCAGCTTGGTGATGCCGCGGCACCAGGGGCACCTCACGTCCTTCTGGCTCGTCCTCATCTGCTGGAGGCACACCGAACAGCAGGTGTGTTTGCAATCCAGCAGCTTGGGCCTCCGCCGGGGGCTGTAGTAGTTGAAGCAGATCTGACATTCCAGCAGCGAATCCTGGGACAGCGTCTCCATGGTGGACCGTGAGCAGCAGGGGCAGCGCCAAGACCAAGGGCAAGGAGCCGGTACTCGGAGGCCTCCACTCTGCCTTTCCAGTGCCGCCGAGGGAGCTCACAGGCATCTAGCATTCGTGGGCGTGTTCATTTCTGAGGGAGATAAACAACGCAAACGAATTAATTCATTCAATAACTTGTCCATAGAGTTAGAAGATTTACACCACAGCCCTGAGGTCTTGATCCTGGGTCAAAAGCATAAAATGTCCCCACAGGTGAGACCATAGGATTCCTATAGTGCTCAGTGGAAGGTGATGGAATGTTCTCAAGCAGCACGTCACAACAAACACACCCATTCCCAAAGAAATGCACCTTGGACAGGTGTAGACTATGCACTCTTATTTCACAAAGGAGGAATCTGTTTTTCCATTTTGCACGTCTCAGCAGAGCGTGGGTCATTCTAAATGACATCGGAGAAACTCTAGCTTCTGGTGTGTTGGTAGCATTTTCTAGAAGTAAACTTCTTTGTTTAGATCCTCCAACCTTCTTTTTCTGCCTCTACTTACCCTGCTGTAAGTATTAACTGCCAGTTTCAGGTAACTTCACAAATCTAGGTGCTCTGCCAACCTAGCTAGCTTACCTAGGGAGGACTGTTTCTTTCGCGCAGGTAATTAAAACGACGCCAAGGGCTGAAGCACAAAAATGCACCTTTTCATCTTTTCCAGAGATAAGATCAATTGGTTTTAAGACACAAAAAGAGAACAAAACACAAAACAACAGAACTAGGGCAGCAGTGACCCTGAAGGCAGTGGGGGTCACAAAGGCACTCTAATTCCAAAATAGCACTAATATTTTCCAATCAAATCTTCTAATGCAGGTGTTTAGGCCTGCACCAAGAAACATGATTAAAAGCCAATGCTTTTTTTTTTTTTTTCCCTTTTTCTTTTTAAAGCAGTGCTGAGGGTCAAATTTAGGGCCTTATGCATGCTAAGCCAGTGATCTACTATTTGGCTACACCCCTAGCCCCTAAAAGCAATACTATCCAGCTATTTGGGAAGTTGAGGCTGGAGAATTGCAAGTTCGAGGCCAGCCTGGGCAACTTTTCAAGACCTTGTCTCACAATATAAAATAAAAAGGGTTGGAATGTATGGAATGTAGCTCAGTGATAGAACACCCTTGGATTCAATCCCCAGTACTGCCCAAAACAAAACAACATGGTGCTACAAAAGAGCTGGAGGAATTGGAGGAATCAGGGATGTCTCAGTGAAAAACCTGGTTATAGATAAGAGTCAGACATGTAAAATCAAAGACAGGCTATTTTCAGGTTAAGAAATCAGCATGAGCAAAGGAAAGAATGTCAGCAATTATAAAATTATTTCTCTTTTCTAGGTGTGACATTGGCTAGGGGATATTTTCTAATCTGAGAATCACTTACAGATGTTCTCTAAGAGTTTTATAGCTTTAGCTCTTCCATCTTTGACAGATGCCTTTGAAAGAAAGTTCTCAGAGAGCCTATGTATACTCTTCCCTAGACCCAGCCAAATAGCAGACCCCACAGGGAAAGGTGAATGAGCTAATCAGGTATGTCTATACCTCTCCCCATAGACTGGAGACCATAGCCAGACTCAAAGGCCAGGCCAAAGATTTGGGAGTTTATAGTGGGCAATGGGAAAACACCAGAAAGATAAAGAATAGGAGAACAATCCATTCAAGGCAGATTGGGAAGACCTGGTAGCAGGCTACTCTGTGTTAGAGGTTAATAGGATGAGGAGGTAGAAAGTGAGAAGAGGCCTAGGAGGGGTCAGGCAGTGCACTGCTATTAAGGTCACAGGGGAAAGAAGTCGAGGTACAGTCTTGACAGGATCATGGTGTCACTGAAAGAATCAGATCATGCAAGGAGGGAGCAGAATCAAGGAACACTTTTTTAAATCTTTTAAAATAGAGGAACTGAGGCAAAGAGGGGCAGAGGAGGCAAGAGAAGGTGCTTGAAGCCGAATGGCCTGGTCTGGTCTGGGCAGTCCAGCAGGGTGACCTCTAGCCATAGGTGCAAGAGGAAATCTGCACAGAGAGCTTAGGAAGCAGGATGTGTAGGATGGCTGCAGTAAGAAATGCAAATGGAAGTAGAGATCCCAATGTGTGGGTAGGATACCTCTAACTTTATACCCACTAAAATGTTGTTAATCTTGCTCTTATCTCTCCTTAGTGTTAAAGTCTACCGATGGGGATCCGGCCATAACATCACAGATGAGATGGGAAATGCGTATGTGGAGAAGAATTGACCACTTTGAACTATGGAGGAAGAAACAACAAAACTGGAGTGGCTTTGGTCTCTGGCACATCCTAACTCTGGCACCAACGCAAGTCACCCCACTTATCCGAACCTACTTCCTCACTGGCCAACCAGGGATGATGGAGTCACGGCTGAAGGTCAAGTGACTTCACCTACCATTTGCACAGTGGGCTGTGTGCTTTGCCCAGAGGCGATTCCTGGCCATGTAAGAGCTGCCATTTTGAACAGCTCAGAGGAGGAAGGCAAGTGCTCCTCTTGGCTCTGCTCCAAGACCTGCCGTACCATTGTTCTTCAACAAAACCAATGTGTGATTTTATTCATGAATTTACCCTCAAAGTAATGTTCACTTAATTTGTGTTAAGCTCATTTAAAATTAGATTCTACTACCCAATTTCCAACTCTATCCCAGTATGTTCTAGGCCTTATGGTGCAGGCTGAACACAAAAGCAGAATGGGAAACACAGTTCCTATTTTCGATGTTCGGCCACATAAAGCCACTTTGACAGCAGCCTCTGATTTATACACTGATGTGTTCTATATTAAGCAGCCTGAACTGCATTCCAGTTTATTTTCTGGAGCATAATTAGTAGTGATGATTAGTTAGGTAAAGAGAAGAAAATTTATGAGGCTATGGCCCGAAGGAAATGATGAATCACTCTTTCTCCTCTTTCATCACAGCCTCGAAAGACGCAAGTCAACAACTGAAGGAGGGGAGTGGAAACAAGGCCACTGAGGCCGGGGAAGAAATCCAGAGTTCTTTGTCAAGTGTGTTAGACATAAGCCCATCCTGGAGACTGCCTTAGGAACCCGTGTTTGGTGTCGCTTTTCCCCAAGAGCAAAATGGGATACTCAAATAAAATACTCATTAAATTTTAAAAGGAAAGAGTACTTTGATAGAATGTAGATGTATAGGCCAAAATATTGGAACAACTGGAACAAGTTTTAAATGTCACTTCGATTTATTTTTCAAAAGAACCTAAAGGAAAGATCAAAGGGAAAAATAGTCCCAAAAAATGAGGAACAGTGGCTAAGGAAGGGCATTAAAAAAAAAAAAAAAAAAAGTTACAGCTTACAAGGTAGAACTTATTTCCAAACATATCTTCATAAAACACTATTTAGTTACACAAATATTATCCATTACACAGCTCGTGGGTGAGCTGAAGGGTGTGTGTGCTGCCATTGTTTTGGGATCGTGGATATTTGGTGCTTTGGCCACTTTACAACATCAACATGTTTTTATAAAATGAAATTTCTTTTTCTGATCTATAAAACTATATGCATCTTTATAAAGTGTGGGTGTGGTAAAGTGCTTCTGTGAATTTAGTGGGTGGTAAAATAGCAAAGGTCTCCAACAATGAATTTTTATGGTACCAGTTGCTTTCAGAAGTGCAGACATAGGAGCCTGCAGATAAAAAGGTGATGAAATAAACAATCCAAATAGGCTTATTCTGCTTGTATTCTTAAGAATCTTCCTACATTCCTTAACCATGGGATTAATTAGGAGCCTACTCGTGGAGCCGTAGCATGATCTGATATCGATTCCATCTGGTGACGTTGGGTGGTTCCATCAGATGGTCTATGCAAGAACCTTAAACTTAATGATTGTGTTCAAAGTTAAGAGATTAAACTTAGCACTTGCTTTTCTTTTTCTATTGAAATAGGGTGACTTGTTGATACAGGCCACTGCTTAATTCTTAAAGAAAATATAACTATTTGAAGTGACATTAAACAAAACAACTATAATTCCTTTTCATCTGGTATGTCAGCTGGTAAGACCACTGAGTTACACTGGATCTCACCAAAACTCCAATAAGTGGCAAGAATGAAGATGGCTTGGTGACAGGTGTGTCACCGACTTCTGGTTCTCTGGTAGCGAGAGCAGTCCTTCTGGACACAACTGTCACGTCTGTGCATTGCAAACTTGGTGCAACTACTGTCCTTGCTTTAATGGAGCCAGGCAGTGGGTGCCTGGATGCCGACAAATCACAACCGAGAATCCCACTGACCCAAGCTCCAGTCTTTGTACTGTTTCCTCCTGTGAGCGTTCTGGATTGCTGTATTTGATGAGGCCAAAAATATGGAAAGTGAAAAGAGTCATTTAAATGTCTTGGATGTTAACAATTGAGGAAGTTGCCTGGCCTTGGTAGTAGAGCAGGCAGGTGGGACAGAGAGTAAACTGTTGAACAGGAAGAAAGTAAGTGGTTGAACAGGAAGAAAGCAAGAGACCAGCTACAATGACAAGGTCACTTTAGGGACTCAGCACACAACCAAAGACCTGGCCCAGCCTGGTGACCATCCCTGCCTGTAGGTGTCACAGAGCCAAGGGCATTGTGCCAAAGGGCACACCATGGTGCTTGCCAAATCTGTCACTGAGAAACCTACCTACCAAGCAGCCACAGTCACCAGAGAGAAGTTCCTTACTCAGCTTTAGGCATGTTTCACTAAAGTTAGCAAAAGATGAATACATTTGACACATCCATAGTTTGATGTTGCATATTGAAAATCAAAGTATATTGGAATTGAGACAGTTTTAGGAATTTTAGCTATATTTCAGTATTGCAATAAGTGATGATAACCACCGGGTTTGTCTGTTGAACAACCAATATTATTAGAAACAGGAGATAAGAATAACTCTCAAATAGACAGGTTACCATAAGCAAACTGAGTCTGGACTAGATGGTCTCCCATAAAGTACCTTCTAGTAAAAATACCACATGACACACTGCCAGGTTTCCAACTGCATGACAG